TGGGCTGAAAAGATACATATATTACAAAACAGCATCAGCCGCAGCAACGTTGTGCGCTGAGCGGGATGCGGCTTCATACTGAACGTTCGGCTGTCGAGGCCGGCGTTCGGCTGCCACTCTCAGCTGTCTTACTTTGTCTGGGCACACTAAAATGGTCGCGGTCACCCATGGGGCTCAGTCGTTGACGATTTATCGGTATCCGATTATTTTGACATTTGACAAGTCTATGCATTGTATGGTTAGTGGTATTATTTACTTTATCAGGTAAAAATATAAGAATGTTGTTAATTTGACGTAAGAAATTTTTTGTCTGTTTCTAATATAGCACTTTCTGCTACAGGTACGTATTTTACCTATTTCGGAAAATCCCCCACTGAATAACTGACTGATTGGTGATCAACGCACTGATCAAACCATACTATGTTTACTGTTGTTACCTTATATCAAAGACAATATAAACACTAAGATGAGTATACAACAAAAGCTACTATGCAGCTTGATTTTTTGAAAATTAAGAACGAAAACAAAATCAGTATCATTGCGCTCTCAGAGCTGAAAGAGCGGAAACGCTGAAAATAGAATGTACTCTCTGCTTCGGCTTTTTTCATTACAACACAGTTGTCTAAGGTGATGTTTCGCCAAGCCTGTTTATATTTGTATGTGTGTGAATATACATACAAAACAGCAATTTGAATGTGTTGTTATTCAAATCCATAGATACCATACTACTTATACCATTTTTATACCCTGATCCCATTACAAATGGGTAAACAGGGTATATTGTATTTGTGCAAATGTATGTAACAGGCAGAAGGAAGCATCTCCGACCCCCTAAGGTATATATATTCTTGATCAGCATCAAAAGCCGAGTCGATCTAGCCATGTCCGTCTGTCTGTCTGTCCGTCCGTCCGTCTGTCCGTATGTATGAACGCAAGGATATCAGAACCTATAAGAGCTAGAGAAATTTTAGCTATAGGTCCTCCTAATGCCCGCGCAGATCAAGTTGCTTCCGATATTCGATAACTTGTCCCGTTTCCAAGTAATCGATAAAAATCGATATCGAAATCCTGTTTTTTGAGCAATTTCGGCAATTAATATGAGCTAGAGTCACCAAACTTGACATGTTTGACATGCTACTAGATTAGTATATATAACAAGTACCACCACAAAGCCATAAATTAAGTTAACTATCCAACTTGTATTGCCCATCAATTAACCATGATTTATATGCAATTGCATTTTTGAGAATACACAAATATTCTTTATTCTATTCTACAATAAGATGTACTGTGGAAAATTTCATTAAGATCGGTTAAGAAACACAACAGTTATGTGCGCACGTGTTAGCAGCGTAGCTGCTGCGCAAATTCCAAGAATTTATGTATACATGTACACAAACACATTCATGCGCGACTGCTTTGAATTCTATCAACAGCATTGCAATTGCGATTGTATTGTTTTCTGTGCTGTTATTTTAATTGGTTTTTTTCTCATTAAAGCTAAGTTATTGGTGTGGCTGTTGAGTAGAGGCAGCGGCAAGTGATGCGGTTAGTTGCGAGTTCGAACCCTGCCAAGGGAACAATTTTTTTTTTTCTTTTCATTTTTATTTATTACTACTAAATCAAACGAGCGCGTAGCGCGATCTGCATTTGGTGTTGGAAGAAGAGGGTTCAGGGTATCCCCTAGTCGGGAGCTCCCGACTAGAACCTCTTATTGTTTTTATTGAAATATGAATGCATGTTGTGTACTGAGGTTGGCTCGGTAGTAAATCTGTATTCTTAACTCGATGAAAATATTTATATAATTTTACTCCATTATATTTTCGGGCGCATATTTATTGTCCTCCAATATTAAATAACAGTGTTAGTGTTAATCTTAGCATATCTGACCCTACCCATGACCGGCTTGCCGCAGCCCATGCGCAAAAACCTTATTTAAATATAAATTAAGTTTATAATTTAAAATATTAAATTAAGTCATTATTGTAATTTAGTCTATTAGTTGGAAAATAATAATAATATAGTAATAATCGAACTTGAAGATATTTTATAAATATTTGCATCGATTTAAAAATACTGATTTTCTACCAAACCAAACTCAGTAATATGGTAATGTATCATTCATATAAAGCATCATATCACGTATTAAGCAAAAGTACTATGCGTCGATCGTAAGTATACCGAACAGCTTTGCTGAAAGCAGGCTGGCGACTGACTTCGTTGCTCGTGTCAGCATCAGCAAGCCGCGACCTCGGCATTCGATCGCCTGACTTTTGGAGAGCGAAGAGCCAGTCGGCTGGCATGTCGTTTAAAGTGGGAAAAGCCAGATGAAAAGACACGCTAGAAATTTCGCGTCACTATCAATTGTATAGGCGTTAGTCATCTTAGTGTTTATATTGTCTTGCTTATATGGTATAAGTACACGCTTGGTCTGGATTTTGAGAAATTTCACCCCAAGTATAGAAATCGCGGAACATGGTTGTTAAGCATATGATCGTCATCAAATTCAGTTAGTGGAAATAGGAGTCAAGGATTTATTGGGTAAGGTTTCGGATGTAAACTCATTGCGACGGATCTTTATGAAAATTCATTTGACAAGTGTTTCACACTTTTCGTGAAATTTATTTTGCTGAGTAGAAGATGGAGGTCAAACATTTTTTGGGCGAAGAGACATTATTCACTGACCTAAATATCCCCATGGAAAACTATTTCTACCCCGTCAAATCGGTACAGGGTCCGCCAAGTTGAACATGCTAACCGCCGTGTTATGCGGCTACTTGCTAGGCGGCACATGATGGAGGCCCATGAAGCGAAGGCCACCGTCGGATCTTTGGGTCCTTGATCGATCGCGTAATAGGCGACTTTTATAAGCCTACCAGCACTTTTCGGAAGTACGTAGGTATTTACGCGCATTGGTCGCGCTTAGTGACGACGGCTGGGACTTATTTGAGTGTGGTGTTACGCGCTGTGCCTTAGTGTGTGGTGTTTGAAAACGCTATGGTTCTAAGGAACTTGACAGCGGAGCTTGGGGTGGACCCGCTCCCTTGCCAAAGGAGATGGCCTGTTCTGCCCGGCTTTGTCCGGGATCATCTACAGACTTTTTTGTCAAGTTTCTTCGACGAATGTCGCCTGCCTAGGGTCGCACCAAGTTGCGTGACGTTGTCGGTGTGCTTGATCCTCTTTTCGTCTAGTAGCAGCTAATTTAAGAGACAGGCCACAGCAACGGCACCCTTTATAATTCCACCGGGACTCCACCGAATCTGAAATTCCGCCATTATTGTATGTTACTTCTTTTATACCCTGAACCCATTGAAAATGGGTAAAAAGGGTATTATGTATTTGTGCAAATGTATGTAACAGGCAGAAGGAAGCATCTCCGACCCCATAAAGTATATATATTCTTGATCAGCATCAACAGCCGAGTCGATCTAGCCATGTCCGTCTGTCTGTCCGTCCGTCCGTCTGTCCGCATGCAAGGATCTCAGAACCTATGAGAGCTAGAGACTTGAAATTTTAGCTGTAGGTCCTCCTAGTCCATGCGCAGTATGAATTTCCGATAATCGATAACATACTCCGTTTCCAAGCAATCGATAAAAGTCGATATCGAAATCCTCTTTTTTGAGCGAATTGGGTAAATAATAAGAGCTAGAGTCACCAAACAAGACATGTGGCTTCTAGAATAGTATATCAATTATCTTTCATTTTATACCTATCACCACCTCACCGCTACTAACTCATAGCTATAAATCTAGTAAATAAACAAATTTATGCTGTCTACCAATATAATTATAATTAAATGCAAATGACTTTTTGAGAATACACAAATATTCTATAACACAATAAGATGTACTGTAGAAAATTTCATCAAGATCGCTTAAAAAACAAAATTATTAAAGAAAACGTGTTTGGACATTCCTTGTATCAGCGGCAGCAAGCGAAAATTCCAAGAATTAACGCGCGTCTGCTTTGAATTCAATCAACAGCATTGCAATTGCGATTGTATTGTTTTCTGTGCTGCTTTTTTAATTCTTTTTTTCTCATTAAGACTTAATTGTTTGTGTGGCTATGTAGCGGCAAGTTGTGCGGTTAATTGTAAGTTCGAACCCTGCCAAGGGAACAATTTTTTTTTATTTTAATTTTTCTTTATTACTACTAAAGCAAATGAGCGCGTAGCGCGAGCTGCATTTGGTGTTGGATGAAGAGGGTTTAGGGTATCACCTAGTCGGGAGCTCCCGACTAGAACCTCTTAATTGCTTTACCATCCATCTTTGAAGTTACGGAAATACATTTTTATTCAAGGAAAATTCATTCAAGACGTTTATTTACAGTTTTCGCAAAATCTAGTGTTCTAAAATATATCCCTATTAATATTAAAGGTTTAATGAACGAAAGTTTATTTTTCCTTAAATATTCTCATTGATACCAAGTTTTGGTTCTTTTTTTGATGGATTTCCTCCTCATTTTCCAAAATGTACGAAAAATATGTTTAGAAATGGTACGGATAAATTTAAATTATCGACGGACGGAAAATGGGTGGAAAGCAAAATAGCTGGACCGGCGAGGCCAAGAAATACCAGCTAGAAGTGTTTAATTATTTAAATTTTGTAGGACAGTTATAAGCTTTGCCTAATAAATGTTCGCGCTTGTAATTAACAAATTATCTTACCTCCACGTATCCAAATGTCCACCCAATGTAATATCCCGTCCAAAATGTGTTAGACCGGCAAATCCGAATGATCCCACGTACCGGCCGAACGGGGAAACCGCTGTACCTATCCATTATAAATAGTAAAGGGGTTAGTGGAAGTTATTGCTTGCTCAATTTACAGCTTACCGATATGACTAGGTGGTGCACCTAGGAAACTTGCAGCTAGTGGTGAAGCTTCAAATGGCGATCTGGCATACGCAGCTGATGTCAGTTCACTTGATCGATGTAGAAGGTGCGGTGACGTTGAACTTAGAGTCAACGCAGGCGAGGGTTTCATACTTAGTGATGTTGCGGATCCACTGGCCACAACCACACTGGTCGCGGAAACAGCTATGTTGCTTGCAGGTATACCCCCGGTAGCTGCTGTGTTTATACTGAGCGCGCTGCTAGTTGCACCAGAAGTCCCAGAGTTTACACTGCTACCGTTGTTGTTAAGACTAGAACCCACAATGGACACAGTTTTTTCAGAATTTTGTTTGTTTTGGTGATAGTAAATTTCCCACGCAATTCGGACATGCATAGCATTCCAACGTCCAGTTTTCTAATTAAACGAAAATTATATTTTTTAAGTTTATAAAATGTAATTTTTCTTCTTACGCTGCGGTAAAGCTTTCTAAGTGTTAATGATGACAAAAAAATAAGTTTTAAGTAAAGCTAACAATGTATATATTTATTATATATATATACTAGTGGGTATAACCAAAGACAATATAAACACTAAGATGAGTAACGCCCATACATTTGCATGCGACGAAAAATTTCATGCCTGGCGTTTCATCTGGCGTTTGAGTTTTCGCACGACATGCCTGCCGACTGGCTATTCGTTCTCCAAAAGCCAGGCGAACGAATGCTGAAGTCGCGGCTTTCTGATGCTGACCCGAGCAACGAAGTTAGTCGCCAGCCTGCCTTCAGCAAAGCTGATCGATGGTGCTTTGCGTCGCTTCGTTTTCGAAGTACATTGAGCGAAAAGTTTTTAACTTACGATCGACGCAAAGTACTTCTGCTTTATCCATGAAATGCATGCTTTATTCAAATGATACATTACCCTAGATACTAACTATAAATTTTGCAGGAAAAATTAAGAATCAAATAATTTTTTTACAAGGCGCAACTTGTGCAATAACTATGTTAAGAAAATATCACACATAGATTTATTTCACTTTTGTTTTTGAACAGTGTATGCTCGAGAGAAGTTCTTGTTCAGCCAATGGCGTGCAAGAACCTATGTTTGTATGTGTGAATTATGCATGCATAACTACATTAAAATATGTATATGTATATGTGTTGTTATTCACTGCCTTGGCTTTGGCTGGTGAAGAAATAAATTTTGTTTTCTAGCGCTGATCATGCACGACCTATTCCAAATTTGTATTCACATATGAATGCATGTTGTGTACTGAGGTTTTTAAAGTCGATGCAAATATTTATATAATACCTTTAAATTAACTTATTAATTAAATTACTATTATTTTTAAGAAATAAAAGAAATGAAATAAGAGCGCAAATTTTGTGTTCCCAAAGATTCCGTTTATCAATTTTTTTTTGTTTAAATCATTTTTTGCACTCTTTTATTTTTTAATAAAATAAAAATAATATTAAATAATTAAACATTTAATTTAAAGAAATTATATAAATATTTCCGACGAATTTCAAAAAAAGATTTTTTACGGAGCCAACCTCAGTACACAGCATGCATGCTTATGTGAATACGAATTTGGGATAGGTGCATGATCAGCGCTAGAAAACTAACAAAATCGATTTCATTGCCAGCTAAAGCCAGAGCTGTGAATAGCAACACATTCAAATATGCTGTTATGCATGTATACTAACACACATACAAACATAATTGCTTGCACGGCTCTCATACAGCCGAAGCGCAGTGTACATTCTATTTTTAGCTTTTCGCTCTTTCGGCTGTGAGAGCGCAATGGTACTGATTTCGTTTTCGTTCTCAAATTTCAAAAAAGCAAGCTGCATAGTAGCATTTTGTTGTATGGCGTTACTCATCTTAGTGTTTATATTGTCTTAGGTATAACCCGGCCTCGCCCGTGGCATGTAAAAAATAAATTATCTTAAAGATATTTGAAAACGAGTTTGACACCGATCGGACGGCAAACAAAAAATTTGCATACAACCGTTTTCCGCCTATTTACCACTGTTGTGGATGCAATTTCCCAATAGCTGAAACACGTTTTCATTAAGTTCTTATATGTAGGCTTTGAAAATAAGTTTGGTGATAATCGGGCAAAAACTTAAAACTTCACCAAAAAAAATCTTTGAATCGCACTCTTCACCGAGGAAGCTTTGATTTTGCGAAAAATGTGAAACACGTCTCAAATGATTTTTCATATAAATCATTGGAAATGAATTTGAGTGCGAAACGTCACCCACCAAATCTTTGACCCCCATGTCCACCAATGAGCAATGGATTTTTCGAAAAGTGTAAAACACCCCTTAAATGAATTTGAACAAAGATCTTTGAAAATGAGTTTGAGGCCGATCGGATGGTAAACAAAAAAGATTCATACAAACGATTTTCGAGATTATTCCGCACTTACGGAATTTCCTGAAACTTCGTCTTAACGTGCACCTTCATCACTTAAGGTACGGTTGGGCTGTGCGTTGATCACCAACTTCTCTCTTCTCTTTCGTTCTGTCTGCGTCGCTTTTGAATTACATTTCACTGAGCGTCTGTTGCTGTCTCGCTCACACTTTACTTTGCACTCTGTTCTTCCAACTTTACATGTCTTTTATAGCAATCTGTACGACGATGTTCTTCTTTTAAATTCACTCACTTTTGTCTCATTGTGTTAATTGTAACTTGGATCAATCCCGGACGAGCCCTCAATTTGTGAATTCTTTATAGTTATAGTAGAGGGGCATGCAGTAATTGCCAAACCGTTGTCCGACAATTTGCAAAAGGAGGCAATATTTAAATTTAAAGAGTTGCTGCAGCCTGTCGCATTTGAACAATTGAAATCAGCGTTGATGAGTGGACCAGTATTCAAATTGTATAATTCTAAGTTAGAAACGGAATTCACACAGACGCTAGCAAGTTTGGTTTTGGTGGGGTATTGTTGCAGAAAGACCCAGAAGACTGTTTGTTTCATCCTGTTCAGTGTATGAGCCGTAAGACAAGCTGAAGAAAAGTCTGATTCATACGAATTAGACATTTTTGCTGTCAAGCCTGCTCTAACTAAATGTCGTGTGTACGTATTAGGCATAAAGTTCAAAATCATAACTGACTGGAAATGCGTTTATAATGACGATGAAAAAAAAAGAAGTGCCTTTGCGTGTAGCTAGATGGGCAATGTACTTGCATGAGTTCGACAATCAAACCGAGCATCGTTCGGGTTCCAAAATGCGTCATGTTGACGCGTTGAGCCGTGTTTATGCTATGTGCTGACCGATAGCTTGGTACATCGTTTGAGAGAAGCACAGTTGGGGGATGAACGGACAAGAATAATTCGCAGAATTTTTGAGGAAAAGGGGTATGAAGATTTCTACATATAAAGATCCGAATCTGGAATTAATTGTGGTGAGGTGTCAAATGGAAATGGAGATCATTCGTATTGCACACAAGCAGAGTCATTTTTCCGCTAAGAACACCCAGGATCTCGTAGAGAAAAACTATTTTATCCCAAAAATAAAGGAAAAGGGGCCCGAGTTGTGGATAGCTGTGTAGAATGCATTATTATGAATGCTAAAACTGGGAAAAGGGAGGGATTTCTGACCCCGATAAATAAGTTAGATAGACCATTGTGTACTTATCATTTTGATCACGTAGGGCCAATGGAGCTAACCAGCAAACGTTCTAGTGGTAGTAGATGGGTTTTCCAAATTTGTGTGGTTGTGCCCAAACTGCAGCACTATTGTCAATGAAGTTTTAAGTTGTTTAGAAAGGCATTCTGTTCTGTTTGGAAATCCAGCGCGAATCGTTTCTGATAGGGATACTGCATTTGCGTCACATCTTTTCAGGGAATATTGCGAGAAAAAAGGCATAGCGCATCTGCTTATAGCTACCAGAGTGCCAATGTTTTCAAAGTAAAGTTATAAGAGTCCTAGCAGTTGGTATAAACATATGGTAAGAGTTCAGCAAGTAATTAACCATACTGCACCAAGGAGCACTAAGGCATCCGCCTTCAATATTTTAATAGGTTTGGAAATGTGTATACCAGTCGATCTAGAATTAAATAAACTTTTAAGGAATCTTTTATTGATGAGTTGGAAGGCGAGCGAAGGATAATGCGTGAACAGGCGCGTGAATATATCTAAAAGTTGCAAGATGAAAACAGAAGGCAATTTGATTTAAAAAAAAAAAAGGATATTCAGTACAAAATAAACGGTTTAGTAGCTATAAAGCGCACACAGTATGGTACAGGTTTAAAATTAAAGGTTCATTTTTGGGGCCATATAAGGTGTTGAAAGTTAAGAATCACGGTAGATACGAAGTTGAGAAACTTGGCAGTGGAGAAGCACCGTGTAAGACGACAACCGTGTCGGAGTATATGAAGATGTGGGATTCCTTCGGGTCGAGGACGTGTCAGGACGGCCGAATGTGGGAACCCTAAAAGACGATCGACAAAGAACAACACGCAGTGGCCGCTGCTTCTGATCGCTGATCGTTATGAAATTAGAGACACTTTGCATTTGGAAGTTGCCAAAAGAACTCATCGTTCGTCATTATTTGTTTAAAGTTTTGATTATAACTAAAATCATCCCATAATAACTTAGTCATAATAATAATCAATCATCTAATAATCGCTGCATATAAAACTGTTTGTCCTGACTGACTGACTGATTTATTGACTGACTGATTGGTGATCAACGCACAGCCCAAACCGGAAGAGCTGGGAATCTGAAATTTTCACTGTACTTACCTTATGTGATGAAGGTGCACGTTAAGACAGAGTTTCAGGAAAACGTTTCGAAAAACGTTTGTATGAATCTTATTTGTTTACCATCCGATCGGCCTCAAACTCATTTTCAAAGAACTTTGTTCAAATTCATTTAAGGGGTGTTTCACACTTTTCGAAAAATCCATTCCTCATTGGTGGACATGGGGGTCAAAGATTTGGTGGGTGACGTTTCGCACTCAAATTCATTTCCAATGATTTATATGAAAAATCATTTGAGACGTGTTTCACATTTTTCGCAAAATCAAAGCTTCCTCGGTGGGGAGTGCGATTCAAAGATTTTTTTTGGTGAAGTTTTAAGTTTTTGCCCGATTATCCTCAAACTTATTTTCAAAGCCTACATATAAGAACTTAATGAAAACGTGTTTTAGCTATTGGGAAATTGCATCCACAACAGTGGTAAATAGGCGGTCAACGGTTGTATGCAAATTTTTTGTTTGCCGTCCGGTCGGTGTCAAACTCGTTTTCAAATATCTTTAAGATAATTTATTTTTTACGTGCCACGGGCAAGGCCGGGTTATACCCACTAGTATATATATATAATAAATATATACATTGTTAGCTTTACACAAAACTGATTTTTTACTTTTGTTATCACTAACACTTAGAAAGCTTTATATATATTTATATATTATATATTTAATAATTATTATAATTTTATAAATCTATTATAATTAAAATTCACGTGAAGTCATCAAAAGCGAAACATTTTTGATCTGGGTTTCCTATACGAGAATATATACAAAATTTGATAACAGTCGCTCGAATAAACTCCGAGAACTCCTGAACATATCTATTTATTTGTTAAAGTAAGGGAAAGTTGTCGGAAAGAAAAATGTGACTATACGAAGTTTTAGTCGAAACACGAGATTTATTTTATACAGTGGTTGTTCAGTGGTGTTCGCTTTTATCAATACTTCTATGATTTATTTGGCAACCAACTGCGGACCAATTTGTTTCTTAAGGAAACGTTATTTACAGTGGCCGGAAAATTTCCCCTCGACCAAACATAAAAAAAATCAAGGAAACTACTTTTTGTTTTTCGACGACCTTTAAACGGCTTTGAAAGTACAGACCAAAAAGTGTCATGCCAACACCGATTGCTAACAGTTGGGATTAGACTTGATATATATAAAATATGGAAAAATTAAAGGAAATGTTAGTGCGATGGTGAAAGATGATATTCCTTTATAGGGTATGCTAGATCTGTTCAGGTGAGGCTGGCTAGTGCGTAAGGTGAGGGCAATTATCCCTCGACCAACATAATTGGGTACTTGTGATTCCTCAGTATTAATCAAAAGCTCGGACTGCTGCTACACGGTTGGGTCAGTCTAGTCGACACAGCTTCGTTGAGCGTTTTCTACAGCGGTTCGGCCAGGTTTATCTTGGGGTCCAATATATATCTGTTGCTGGTTGCCATCTTTGATTGGCCACAAGCTCGAACAGTTTTTGGGTTTAGACTGGTATACCGATGTTTTCCTAAGCGCTGAGGAGGAAATCTGTAGTTCCCAGACTTGCCAGATTGTCTGAGCGACAGTAGTTACGATATCTTTGTGGCCTTAGTAATCAGGTAAGCTGTAAACGGCTTGGAAATTTTCTGAAGGGAATTACGTCTGCTGACAATAATATCGAGTTTTCGATATCACGAGAAAATCATCGATAGCTGCTAGACTGTCAGAGTACATACAGAGGCTACTTGGGCTACTTGAGATCAGCAATCACAGAGAGTGCTTCTTGTATTGAAGTGACCTCTAGTTGGAATGCAATGATCCGGCCTATGGCTATGTTCTTGGTCTGAAAGGAACAGCGCTTTTAAATTTAAATTTCCGAAAACAAATCGTTAACTATAGGGTGATTTTTTAAAGAGTATGTGAGTTTCCGATTAAGTTATAAAAAAACGTAGAATTGATGTTGGTCCGATGTTGCTTTAGTTGATATGAAGGGAGCATGGAGCAACTAATATATGCTGAGCAATATATATTTTTAAGCAAGAACGTTTCTCATACAAGTAGTTAATTTTCGACCGATCGTTCCAATAGCATCTATATGATATAGTGGTCCGATATTGAAAAGATTTTGTTCATATGTAAGAAATATATAGTGAAACCAATAAATGACGAGATTGGTAAAGATATCTTGATATAAAGCAAGTTCTGCCTACAAGAACTTATTTTATGTATGTTTTAATGGCGTTGATCTTACTAACATTTTGGTAATATACTAGAAGCATAATTAAACTAATAAATGCCATCTTCGTCAACCTATCTAAAAAAATAAATAAGTTGTTCATACGAGCAATTAACTTTTGACCATTCTTTCGTACAGCGACTTTAACATCAATCCACCGGAAATTGATAAAAAGGGTATAATCGTTTGTGCTTAATTATGTTGCAGACAGGAGAAAGCATTTCCGATCATATAAAGTATATATAATCGATCTAGCCATGTACCTTTGTCTGTCAGTATATATGAACGCTCCGATCTCAGAACCTTAAAACTAAAGAATTTTCGAACGAAGAGAAAGTTTCTGACCATCGATAACTTTAACCATTTCCAAAAATCGATATCGAAATCCTGATTATTGAACATATCTTTTAGGTTTTAAGAGCTAGTCACCAAATTTGAAACGTAGCCTCTAGTACAGTATAAACAATTCAGCTATCGCGCAAAGTTTAATCAATAAAAACTATAAGTGGACCAATTAACAGTTCAAAGCACAATTTAAAGCAATTATATGAATATTCAATGGCATAATAGGATCTACTGCAGAAAATTTCACCAACACCGGTCAAGAAGCACAAAAGAAAGAACTGGGTGTGTCTACAGTGATTTTGGTCAGTCTCTACAAATCAATAGGCGCTCCAGTCGATTTAACGACAGACTGCAGACACATGTCAACCGTTTTGCCTCTGAAATGACCATGTATATGCCCAATTATCAATGAATCTCTTTGACAGTTTTTGGTAGTACCCGACTACAATGTTCTTGTTCATTTATAGCTTTCATATTGATATGTCAAAATGTTATTAGTGAATTATCTGATATGAACTTAATTTAAAGCTGGGCGGCTCACGCTCAATGTAGGTCATAGCGACCAACAACAACAAGGTATAAACACCAAGAGTGAACAGGTACTCCCGGTTCATTTATTATCAGTGTACAAAAAAAACTATTGTCCATTGTTTTGTTGATAGAGAGCGATACCCTTAAGCAAACATAGTCTATGCATACAAGAACAGTAGAAAGGTTCGCGCTGAGGACAAGGCCTTGCAATTTTAGAAACGATAGCAAAGTCTGCTGATGAAAGAACCAGGAAGTTCATTTCGTTTCATTTTCGTACTTATACCTTCTCATTGCTGCTTTTTTTGACCAACATTGAGCTTGAGCCGTCCACCATAATATTTCATTTCATACTAATATATTGTCCGAACATTTCTGACAGATTTTAAGATAATTGTTACTTGTTCTTACCTTTGGGGCAAATGTAGTCAAATGATTGGGTGGCATAAATGGAGTTGGTCCCCCCAAACCACTATGCAAAAGACCTGTTGGATTATATCCCGTATATCCAGGAGGTAGTCCGATACCAGCACGATAAAACTGCGGGTCGACTGCAGCTACCTTGGGAATGTCTTTAAATAGTGGTGGTGGAAAAATCTGTGCTGAAGTGGGTGTCGTGGGCGGCAGTACAGTGGTTGTGGCTGACATAGGTGGCGCCGGCATAAGCTGAGAATGCTGATGCAGGTGCGTGTGCTGATGTTGATGATGGTGCAATTCTTGCCGCAAATATGTCGACGAGGACGCTGGGGAAGGTTGGGTTAAGCCAGAGCGATCCAAAAAGCGACTGTCAAGCTCGCGTCGCAATAAGTCCGCTTGATCATCTATTAAGAGCAAAAAATAATAAAAAAAATTATTCTGATTTTCACTAGAGGGATACTAGTTTGAGACTTTTCATACTTTTGCTTGGCTGGAAAAGAGATTCTGCGGAAAATGGGTGCGGTGTAGGTGTAACTGCTGTGGTTACCGTTGCTACATTTGATTGTGTATTACCCATTGTACTGATTGATGATGTCGTCGTTGTCGCTGTGGTCATCGTCGCAATAACAGCCGTTGTGTGGGGTACTAAAGGTAAATGAGAAACTGAACTGTTGCTACTTGCTGCAATGGAAATGGTGGCAGCTGAAGATGAATGTGATGGTGCATGGGGCGTAGCAAAATATGTGGCCTGAAAATTAGGGATTGGAACATGCCCACTGCCAACAGTGGAATGTACCGCTTGAGGTGAAATTGCATTTCCAGCTACTCGTGCAGGTGTCCCTGTGGCAACAGAGTTCAGAGGTGAGGGTAAAGGTCGAACGTTGCCACTAGTCACAATGGGAATTGATGGTGTACATGTCATTGCCGCGGTCTGCATAACTGAAGGGCTGAAAGTATATAAGTATATTACAATAAAATAATAAATTATTCAAGTATATACAATACTAGCGGGTATTACCCGGCATTGGTCGTGGCAATATTTTTGATTAACATTTTAGATGCTTATTTTTCACCCATTTCGCGCCCGTGGGAAATTTAAATTCATCCGTACTATTTCAAGTTAAATTTACCATTGCTATTTGAAATTAGTTTAAGGCACATCGAATTGAGAACTATGAATTGGAATTAATACTTATTTTAGACCCGTGGTAACTTTTGTTTATACAACAATTGACCGCATTTTTCACCCAAGAGGGATGGTGCATACGAAAAGTGTGAAACCACTTCAAATTATTTGAACAAAAATATTTAAAAATTAGTTTAAAACCGATTGGAACGTAAACAAAAAAGTTATATACAACAGCTTTATATATAAGGACTAGCGGGTGTTACCCTGCCTTGCTCGTGACAAGCCTAAAATTTTAAATAAATATTAAAGAATTGAATAACTTTTTCAATCAGTTTCCGCCATGAAAACTTAAAGTGTACCCTTACTATCTTGAAATCAATTTGAAAATATGTTTAGTCTATCGAATAAATAACCAAAAATTGGAATCAACGCTATCCGCCAATGTCTTGCGGTGATTATTGAAGTCGAAAAATAAACATTCGTTCATTTAACCTTTGACCCGCATTTCCCAACCGCCAAATTTGCATAGTTGCGATTGGAACTTCTAAAATCACACAGACGTATTCTTTTGTTCTGTGTGAAACACCCCTCAAAAGAATTTGCACAAAGATCTATGAAAATTAGTTTGATGCCGATCGGATGGGAAACAAAAAAATTTCGTACAAAAGTTTTTCGCGATTTATCCACGCTTCGGATTTCTCACAACCCCGTTTTAGCGTGCACCTCCATCACATAAGATAACTGCAGTGAAAATTTCCGCTTAGCTCTTACGGTTGGGCTGGGCGTTGATCACCAATTAGTCAGTCAGTCAGGACAAACAGTTTTATATATAGAGAATATATATTGAACGACATTCGAAATATCATACTTCAACCAGAGTCCTGTCTTTGTAGTATATGCAGATATACTATGTCCGCCAACTGCTAGAAGTGAATGTGTTGCTGATGACAACGTAGTCGATGACGAAGCAGAAACGGCACTGTAGGGTGTCGACGAAACTAAGCTGCAAAATGCTGGGCCAAACGTAATGCCTGGTGGTCCGCCTGACACCGACACGCTATTACTTGGACGCACGGCTGTAATGCTGCGAATAAATAAATATATTCATAGATTTAAAGTTAAATGTATGTATTCATTTCTAACTGACTGCTGATCAACACATACCACAAACCGAAAGTGCTAGGAAGCTGCAATTTTTACAGAAGCGGTCATTTGAGACGGAAAAAAAAAATTCTTACTCAAAGCAGGGGAAAACGATGGTCAATAATTGTATGAAAAATAACAGCAATGCATACAAGTGTGCTTTTCAAATATGCCTTCATGAGCCTATGTGCGTCATCCCCTAACAAGTGGCAGTTGGACGGTTCAAGTTAAGAAGCAATTGTCAATTCATATATTTATTTATTCAATTGATTAGCCTTTATAAAGAATAAAGGCATTAATAATAAAAGACTTGTTTTGAAATGGAAATGTGTCAACAATAATAATAGATTGTTTTTTTTTTAATTTTTGGTTTTTATTTGATCAATTAAAAGGAATCTAACCCGACGAAACCGAGAGACATGTTTTTAAATAAATTAAAAGAGAGACTATATATGAAGAAATACTATATGAGCGAGCAACGAGTGCACGAATTAATTTCTAAGCCAGTGTTGAATTAGCTTATTGATTGGGCCGCAGTAGGGACAATGGGGCAGATAAATTTTTCGATGTGGATAAGATAATAGGTAATTACTAGATGGGAGGAATGGAGGATGAGAGTAAAGTGTGTACATAGATACTTTGTCGCAACTTGAGAGGCTTTTCTTTTGATCGATCGTTTCTGGATGTAGCTGATATGAAAACAATCGGTCGATAATTAAAATCTTGTTTATAAAGATATCTTGACCATACTCGAATTTTTTATTTCTTCTATGCTTTATATGGGCCAAATCCTATCAACATCGGACCAACATCAATTCTATAAGTCTATTTAATCTTCAGCTCGCCGAAGAAGGAAGTTCTTTATTTTTCATCCGATCCAAATAAATTAAATTTCTCAAGGTGTAGAAAAAAAAATAAAAAAACATTGATTTCCCGCCACGACTAAGCTGGTAAAATATTCTCGATCTTATTATGCAATAACATGCTCCCCAGCCCCACAGTGTTCACGCATTCCTATCAATTTTTAATTGAACAAAGTAAGAGTAATAAAACCAAAGATATATATCGGTTCTACTTGTATTGTCATAGTCATTACAGGTTATATATATTTAAAAATACTCTGTATCCCCGTGGTCAAATGAATGGCAATAAAAATAGAGACGAAATTTACAGACACATTATTGGCTCCGCATTCACTTGTTACCCAAAGGGAAGCTTCAGTAGAAATTTTAGCTTCGTAGTTCTTATTGTTTGGGCAGAGCGTTGGTCGTTGTTTAGTCAGTCAGGACAACCAGTTGTATACATAGAGATATTATTATTTCAGTAGATATTGTATGTATTATGAGATTAATTATAATTATTATTAAATATTAATACCTGTAGCTTGTGTCCCGATCTCTGCTAGGGCTCCCGCTTTTGGGAGAAACTATTTTTTGAATCACAGATGACGATGCTATAGATGCTGCTATTGACGTCGATGGCATCGCCGTCATTAAACTTTGTACAGTAAGAACTGAAGTATTACTTATGCCATTAGCAGAAGTGGTAGTACAACGTAAAAGTGGCTGCTGTTGTGTCGACGTTGAAGGTGCGAACTGTGGATATGAGCTTAGTACCTGAGGAAGGTGGGTTGGATACCCAGTTTGTGGAAGCATTTGCATTGGTGCAGATGGTTGTAATTGTGAAGTAGCCCCAACTGAAATTCCGGAGTTTGTAGACAATTGTGATGTTGCAATAGCTGGTCCGGTGGTTGTTACCCCAAACGCACCTGCGGCGTTAGCTGTTAAGTGTCGTGAGTGCGTCGAATTTAACAAAGGTACTGTCGTTAACGTTGTTGTAGCCATTGTCCCTAATATCTGGGTTGTATTATTATTGGAAATCACATAACCAAGTGGCGTAATAGGTCGCATTCCTCCGATGCCGCTGACACTGTGCTGATGCTGTGTAGATGCACTTGTTACTGGTGCTTTTAAAGATGATGTTGTCGCCGACTCTCGACTGTTGCGAGTATCCGAACGCTGAGGCGACGACGAGGTATTAGAAGACCCTATTGGTATCACTTGCGACAGGTATTGTCCATGTGCTATGTTATTATATGGTGTATATAAAGCTGAATAGTGGGGAAAGGGAGTACGGTATGGTGTGGCTTGAATTAGCATAGGTAGGCCTGCACCCGAATGAGGCATCAGTGGGGGTGCACCATGAAATACCAATGAAGAGCTTGCAGCCCCAACTGGACTACTTCCTGTACTAAGTGATGTTTTTGCAATGCAGGAGGCAGCAGCTGCACCAGAACTAACTGCCGTAATAGGTGGCAAAGTCATAGGAACAGAAAGCATCTTGTTTCCCGAGTGTGGAGCGATATGCGATAGAACACTTCCAACATTTGATGTTGCACAACTGACAGCTGTATGACCAGAAAGGAATCCATTAGCAATTGGGGATGTAGACGTGGGTACTGCGCTATTAGTGGTCTTCTGTGAATCTAGGGAAGCAGTTGTTGCTAGCCCATCCATGCTCAGCATTGCATTATCATTAGATTTAATGTTGGCTGCGAGCAATAAATTGGAAGTTCGCTCGCCGAATGAACCATGTAATGGTGCTATTGTGACGGAGGTTAGGGGAGTACCCAAAGGAATCGTAGGCTTTTGCACTGGAGTTTCCATCCCAAGCGACGTAACCATTTTGTTGCTTATAGTAATTCCTTGAGCATTTACAGATGACGTCGATTCAAGTCCGCATCGTCCAGCTTCTGATGTAAGATATGACTCGCAACCCGCGGAAATACTAAGGCTAGTAACCTAAAAAGTATTGAACAATTTTAACAAAGAACTAAAAGAATAAAAAACCTACTTACTTGTGCAGATGTTGCAGCTGGATCGTGTATGGTATGCGATAAATTATCTGTTCCCGTACTTAGCTTTTGATTATTCCCATGGCCTGTTGCAGGTTTCGTCGTTAAAAGTGTTGGTGGTACCACACTGACGGTTTGTTGTAAGCTAGCAGACTCGGTAATACTCTCGCCGGCAACTGTAAGAGACCCATTTGCTCCAACACCAGGTAAAGTGTTTGACAGTGTATTTATTTCTTGCGACAATATCGGTATATCGTTGCCACACACATTTGCAGTTACACATTTCGTTCTACTAGTCTGTGGTTGTGGATATTCCGTTGAATTGCGCGTTGATGATTGTTGAAGCGCATCGTTTGACACATGGGTTGTCGTTGAAGGGAAAACAAAAGCTACCAAGTTTTCTGGATTCTATTCAATTAAAAACACAATAAAAATCTCAATTATAACTCAATCTTTTTTCAATTTACTAATTTGTAATTGCAGCAATTAATATCTTACTATGCCTGTCCACTATCATCAAGAGGACTATATTGCTATATTAGTTAACAAAATTTCCCCACAACAGAGCGGGACACTAACTAAGCACGCTTAAGTGGCGTGCTGCGATGCAGCATCAGCGGCTTCTGCGGGCATCAAACGGCAACAAAGTTGCGGACAATGCCGGCCGATATCCGACACCATAAGGCACAACGTTTTTAGCAACGGCAGCGACAGAATAAAAATCCCATCAACAGAAGTAGCATACAACTCCACCACCGACGGCAGCAAAAGAAAAATTTGTACAACAAACCCATAAGCAGTTTATAGGAATTAAATAAGAGCACATAAGTAGACTGCTCATTGATATCCTATCTTTTAATATTGCAAACAAAGCAACAATTATAAAGACAAACTCCCAATCTTTGGATAGTAAAACTAATGGGTGATAGTAAAATAGATGATTTACTCGAAAATTTTTACAAATTATGCAGTAAAGGCTGCAAACAAAATGCGAAATGTTAGAATTCGAATAAAATATGACAATGTCAACAAAATAATTGCAGACATTTATAGAAACCGAATTTAATATTGCTCTTGCCGCTCAAGAAACGAAATTTGAGGCTCAAATTCAAGATTTAAAGAATGTTTAGGCAGTATCAGTGTTGGAACTCTAGAAGTAGAAATTTACAAAGACTTGGAAATTCGAACAACTGTTCCGTGCGGTTAACCTTTAGATATACTAAAATCTTTGCCAGACTTTGAGGGAAAACATAAGACATAGGTATAATGAGAAACAAAGCTAAGGGTCCAGCTAGCGTCATTCGACACCCCTTTAAATTTTAAAGCTTATAATAATAAATCGACTTGACTTCACTTATGCGGACTGGCGCCCCATATAGAAAACCCGTCATTTTAATAGGCCACAAAGACCTCCTAACGTAACCCCTAAAAAACAGGAACAATCGCAACCTATGGTTGCAGACAATTCGTCACGTTTTAGGCAACAACAACATGCGACCGCACAACATCAACAAAATGGCCAAGGTAATACCAAGGTTTGGTAAACAGACAAATTCTTGAATCGAAGTAAGACAAAAATAACAACAAATAAAAATTCCAAGTAGGAGATAAAGTCCCTAATGATAATGTGAGATAGCTAAATTAAAATAATCTTTTTTTACGCGCACCTCAGGCTCTGGACTAAGCTTCTTTTTGCCACGATAACAACAGCCAAACTGAGTCACTACTCGAACGCGAACTACCTACCGGTTATGGATGGAGATACAATTTGAAAATGTTTTTAGTACTTAAAACACTCGACCACTAACCATACAATGCATAGACATGTCAAACAGCAGAATTATCGAATCACGATAAATCGCAACGAGGGAACCCCAAGGGTGCCTGCGACTATTTTAGTGTGCCCAGATAGAGTAAGACTGCTGAGAGTGGCAGCCAAACGCCGGCCTCGAAAGCCGAACGATCAGTATGAAGCCGCATCTGGCTCAGCGCACGACGTCTCAGCGGTTGATGCTTTTTCTTAATATATGTATGTTAGTTTTAAATCCTTAAAGCCCAAATACATATGTGTGTATGCATGTGCAGAGTTTTCCTCGCTCTCACTCATTGCTTTGCGCACTTGTGTGCATCTCTTTCTCCCTGCATAGCTTCTCAAAAAACACCGAGATCTACAAACATACATATGTTTGTGTTGTGTGGATGTGCGCACAAGTAGATCACGGCGTTTGCCCGCGTCCTAGAGATATTTTCTTAATTGTGTGCCTTTTGTGCCTGAGGTAGCAAATGTCACACACATTCAAATGCTCTATCTTGCATTTATTTTTCCAGTCAAATGAAATATTTATTTTTATATTCTAATATTTTTGTTTACCTATTTTGCTTAAAATACAAAAATAAACTAAGTCGTATTTCTGCAAGGGTAATTCATCGTCGGCTTGTCGAAGAATTCTAAGAAAAGACCAAAAATTGAATATGTTCAATTTTTGCGACTTGTTACTTGTGCACACGCACACTCATTCGAGGGAGCAGTCGTGTGATATTATAAAAGGGTTTGGCCTGTTTAAGTGCAAAATTGTTTTTTTTTCATGCCTGCTGGGTGGGCTTGCGGCCGCAAAAGGCACAAATGTGTGTGGATATTTATCCACCATCGGCACGCGAACCATTAATCTATTAGAAACCGTTTCAAAGGAAGAAGCTGGGATTCCGGACTTTGATGATTTTGAAAGTCTAACAAGTAAGAGGTTCTAGTCGGGAGCTCCCGACTAGGGGATACCCTGAACCCTCTTATTCCAACACTAAATGCAGCTCGCGCTACGCGCTCGTTTTCTTTAGTAGTAATAAAAATAAATTAATAAAAAACAAAAATCTCTTGGCAGGGTTCAAACTCGCAACTGACCGCATTAATTGCTCCCGCCTCTTATCAACAGCCACACCAGCCAAAAAACAAAATAATAATCTCCTCGGTAGGGTTCGAACTCGCTACAAACTGCACTACTTGCTGCCGGCTCTACTCAACAGCCACACCAATAATTGAGCCTCAGTGAGAAAATTACCAATTAAAATAACAGCACAGAAAACAATACAATCGCAATTGCAATGCTGTTGATAGAATTCAAAGCAGACGCGCATAAATGTGTGTGTGTATGTATACAGAAATTCTTGGAATTTGCGCTAGCTGCTGCTAACACGGGCGCACATAATTTTTGTGTTTCTTAACCGATCTTAATGATAGTGCATCTTATAGTGCCATAGAATATTTATGTATTCTCAACAAGTCAATTGCGAATAAATTGTGGCTTAAATTGATGGGCAATACAAGTTGGATTATTAACTTGACTCATGGCTTTGTGGCGGTGGCGGGGAGGTGGCGTTAGGTATTAAATGAAAGATACTTGATATATATACTATTCTAGAACTAATATGTCAAGTTTGGTGACTCTAGCCCATATCATTTACCGAAATTGCTCAAAAATAGGATTACGATATCGATTTTTATCGATTACTTGGAACCGGGCAAGTTATCGAATATCGGAAACAAACTCGATCTGCGCGGGCACTAGGAGGACCTACAGCTAAAATTTCAAGTCTCTAACTCTTATAGGTTCTGAGATCCTTGTGTTCATACATATGATCAAGAATATATATACATTATGGGTTCGGAGATGCTTTCTTTCCTTCTGAGATGAAATATTGCTGTTAAGAAATAGGATATTGAAATTGAAACTCTAATGCTAACACCCACAAAGATTGGAATTATTAATCCAAAAGTTATTAAAATTATTAACCCAACAAAACTTAATCAATGAGCGTTCTACGAACATAAAGATTACTGACCTAAAGAAAGTAGCCCAAATCAAGGTTCTATTAAATAAAAGTTTTTACATTTCTAATTAAGTATCCTTGACCAAGTTTAATTTATAAAAAAAAAATGGACAATACAATAACACCATCCTTGCCGAAGAAAACGGCTGACTGAGGTAATGAAATATTATATTATTATTATTATTGGATCTCTTGGCCCAGCAGTGTTCACATTCCTCAATATAACAGGCCACCAAGAAATATTAAGTCTACCATACTTACAAAGACAGAGTATATAGAATGTGCGGTACATTGGCGAAAACGAAAAGAAATTAATTAAATAGCCCTAAATATCTGGATTGACCGCGACTATATTTTTGGTCTGAAGCGCCAGGGGACTTGAGGTCAACGATACATTCTGGCACTTTTTGAGGGTTACAAGAAGTCCGAGGACGGCTGGTCGGGGTTTGGATATCGATATATTTAAATTTTTGGTGCAACATCGATAAATTTTAAAAAACCTTGCTCCCCGTTATACGTATGCTTATATATATTGATCTTCTGAACCCCGAATATCAAAAAGAGAGACATAGCTAGATCCACACGGCTGTTGATGTTGACCACGGCTGTTGATATTGACCACGGCTTAATGCTGTTAGAACTAAGTATACAATATTAAAAAGATGTTGAACGAATTTTTTAACTTTTGGCATCCCAGTAGCGTTTGTCCTAATTTTTGCATGAACTGTGAGAGTAAGATTGCCAAGAATGTCAGCCGAACGCTGAGCTTCAATAGAATATAACATTCTAGAAATTTTATTAAAATATAAGTTAAAGCAATGTTAAAAGTAAGTCATTTGTTTATCAGCTTTAAGAGAATGTAATTGTAAAAATTCTCCTATTTTCTCCTATGATATATTTTTAGAAATGGGGGAAATGAATGTCATTAGAAAATCAATCAACTAGAATGCTGCATTATGAGTCACAAAAATAAAAACAATAAAAATAACTAAAATAATAATAATAGAGTTTTCAGTCCCCAGTCGCACCTTTATCAGGGTCTTTTATTTATCTCCTAAACAAACTGATGCATCAAAACATGTCATAAACATTTATTTAAAGAACACAGTAATTATACATATTACAGCTCTTAATTATATTATTTTCATAACCTTTATATATACTGCCCTGGTTTTGTTTCTTTCCATATTTGTAGTCAAGGCAAGCGCTGTTTTTTTACTGTTGCACATTGTCAAATATTCTCGCATGATCGAAATCAGCTGTAAGGACTTTTGTTTTTATGGGAAGTGCACATTGCGTGTCTCGACACTTTGTATCAAAAGTGTAGCTATTTGGAGTGTGCCTGATAGCATTTTGACAATCGCCCTCCTGTTGGCAAAATGCTCTACAAAATGAACGCTGATTTACTATGCCTGGTCATCATAATGTTTTTCTTTATGATTTCTTTCTTTAATGTTGCTTAAGTTCGTTTTTTCTGTTATTATATTATCACAAAGTTTCTGGGATAATTTTTTTTCATTAGTATGTTTTTTATACCCTGAAGCTTTTAAAAATGGGGAAAAAAAAATGTATTTGTGCATATGCAT